GTTGAGTTCTAGTTTTTCCTTTTTAGTAGCCTAGGGTCTAGCCATAGGACTCTTTTGTTGACTATTCCTAGAGGACTAGAAAGGAACCCTCACCATTAAAAATTCTAAACTTCACTTTTCTCAACTTGAAGTTCCTTATATTGGTCCTAATCTCTAACACTTCGTAAGTGGGACCACTATAGGAGAGCTCAAGGAGAGATCCCATAGGATTGCTTGGCCTTAGGGTCAACCCTCTGGTGAAGTGGTCTTGGTTGCATTTACTCGCACACTTTCACATTACACCCCACTCACAACCATAAACCCAAACTTGTTGAATTTTATCCCTTGATCTTTATGGGAGACTCATGTAGATGAACCCCTAAGCCCACTAGCACTAGGCTAGGGTTTTGGTAAGACTAGCACATAGAGGACCCAAATCTAGACTCCATTAGTCCATAGCTCAAATAGGGTGGTTGGCACCTCAATTTCACCAAAATACTTAACATAGCCTTTTGCCCAACAAATCTACCAAATTTCCCAAAACACCCCCAACCTTAAGATTGACGAAAATTCCCAATTTCACCCAAAATAACCAAATTTGTTCAAAAATCATTTCAAATCATTTGAAACCACCCAATGTGTACAAAACCCCCTCAAATTGAAAAAATTACCAAAGTACCCTTGGTGGACCAAACATTCCAAAAACCTCTAAAATCATTTCAAAAGTACCTAAAACCAATTTAGACTCCTCAATTTAACTTAATTTGACCAATTTTAACCAAAAGCTCGAAATTTCCCTTAAAGTCCCAATTACCCTAATTCACCTTAAATGTCCACCAATTTGATCCTAATCCTCTCCAATTTCAATCCTAAACTCAAATTTATCATGAAAAAACTCAATTTAACAAAATTACAAGCTCAGTTGACCCACATTAGAATCCAATTTCAACTTAAATCAAAAAGCCCCAATTTGACCCAATATCAAAATCTCACTTAATTGAACCCCAAATCTCTTCAATTGCCCCAATTTTGCATCATAAACTCAAAACACTTCCACATACCAAATTGACACTTCAATTATCTTTGGTAATGCCCCATTTTTACTCAAAACTAACTTGGACCAAAATCCCCAATTTTGTTCCAATTTAGCCATATCTCCAAGTGTCACCAAACTAAATGCCCAAATCCAAAAATTGACACCCAATTAATGTTTAGATCTCTTCATAGCATCTCTCTACACCATTTTGAAGTCTCAATTTTTACTTGGTCTAACTCTAGCCTAACATAAACCTAAGTCTAACCCAACATTATCAAATTGACCAAATACCCAAAATCCTTCAAATTGACCCTACAAGTCAATTCAAAATCAATCCACATACTTTCTAAACTGTTTATGACTATCATATACACTATTTTGCTCAATCAATTGAGTCCAATATCATGGTTAGCCCAACCTTAACCCAACTCCTTGTTGACTATTCCTTCAGGTCAATTTTGGTGCATAGGTTCAATTTTGGTCAAATTAGCTTGATCAATTTGGCATGGTTTGGACCAAATTGTTCTCATGCACCAAAATTGACCAAAACATGCCATATTGATCAAGAGAAAGCTTCTACAGCTAACTTCTAGACCCTAGTGGCCAGGCTAGACTCACCTAGCCCACCTTAGATGAGCTATGGACCAATGGTCCCTTGATTTAAGGGATCTTATCCTTTCTTAGGAATAAACCAAAACATACTTTCCATCATGCCATAACATTGACATTTAAGAATAACTAAATCTCCCCTAGCTCACCTTGCTGCATGACCACCTCCCTTGCTCCGGCCAGCAACCCTAGTTGCCGGCAAAATCGAGAGCCCCCATGCCTCCATCAAAACCCAAACACACCCATCTCAGCTGGCCAATTCCAATTGGCTTGGGAATCTTTAAACCCTCCACATAAGCATTGTTTTGCACCCACTAATTAGCCCTGGTAGCCACCTTAAGCCATTTTATTTAAACCCCTCTCATATGGCTAAAAGAGAAGGCAAGAAAATTTCCCTGGGGAAACTATGTCAATTACTTCCAGAGCTCCTCAAGGACTCCCTCAGCTTATTGCAACCTCTCCTGGGCATTTCACCCAGCACCTAAACCAAATTTTTGAACTCAAAATCAGGACAAATCTTGGCCATCCTCCAAACTCCCCCAAACTTTAAATTGAACTGCTCTTGAGCTTCCCCAGAGCAAGAGAGGAAGATTCCTATTAAAATTTCCCTCTGTTGAGCTCTCCAAACCACTCCTAGACCAAGGTCGCACCCCATTTCACCGAACTTCTACTTGGAGCTTACACCAAAGGAAACCAACACTTCCAGGAGGTTTGTTGCATTCCACTGAAGCATCCACAAGCATCTTATTAAGGCCTCCCCTCTCAGACAAAGGAATTGGCCACTAACCCTAATCTTGAGCTCAGTTTTAACCAAATGTGAAGTGAAGTTTGATTTCATAGCATTGTAACTGTATGGATGTGTTCATCTTGAGTAGATGAAGGTGTAGAAACAAACCACATGTGATTTGGTTGAGATTTAGTGGGATCTTAGGTCTTCAAGTTTAACGGCTCACTGGTTTTGTTCATCAGGAACAATGACGGAGGACCTTTGATCACTCTTGTATCAGATGGACGGATGAGATAAAGCCGGATGAGGAAAGAGACCATGAAAAGTGGGACACGTAGCTACTGAGTTAAACGGCGGTGCCAAATTAGGAGACGCCGCATGGCGCTTTAAAATTGTTGTGTGTTTACGTCGCGCTGACTAGGATGAATAGAAAATTAAGGATTTTCATAATTTAAATAATTATCAAATCTTTAAAAATCATAACCTTGCCTACAAAACCCATAAAAATAATTTAAACATAACCTCTTACTCTGTGAACAGAAGAGAATAATGTGGAGAAAAAATAAAAATTATTTACTTACTATTTGATTTTTAATTAATTAAATACTCCATGAGCTATTTCAATTCATTATACCTAAGCATTGCTCCCCATGCGTTAAAAGGGATTATTCCTCATGATAGAGGCTATGTTCCCTGATTTTTCCAATGTTAGAGGACATCTTTGTGCTTCAAACCCTAATTTCATGGTTAGATGACTATTTTGGCTTAAATTAATTATGTAAATTGAAATATCACTTCAAAAATTATGGGATAAATTTTAATAGGTTTTCTGTATTCAGTAAATTACAACTTTTAATTAAATGTATATATATAGTATTATTTATGTAAATTAAATATTAATAAAAAAATCAACAAAATCAATTCCACATTGTACATAAAAATCATATTATCCCACTATAAAATATTGAAAATTATTTGATGAAGTTTAAGCACTAAAGTTGATTTTTCAAGAAAATATTGTATTTTTGTACAAAAATAATTATATTAAATTAAATACGATTAGAAAAATTATAAAAAGTGGTGTTCTGAGTTCCTTATGATCATGGCTCATAGGAAAAATAAAAATTAACTTTGATAAAATACTTTATTTTTTAGCTCTATTTTGAATTAAAAATAATTTAAAATTCCAAAAATACAAAAAAATTTCAAAATGTTCTTAATTATTCATTGATCACTTGAAACTCATTAAAATATTTTTCCCAATTTTTCTAAGTTAAGAATAAATTTCTAAAGGCATAAAATGTATTTTCTAATTTTTCTCATTAAAATAATTATAATAAATAAATTAAAAAACTTAAAAATATAAAATTTATTTCTCTGAGTTCTTAGGACTCAAAAAAGTTTAATAAAAATATAAATAATAATTTTCGTAAACAAAACACATTTCATATTTAATTAAATATCTAAATATCATTAAATAATTAAAAAAATAAATTAAAAACTTGATTTAGAAAATCATGATATGTTACCTAAGTGTTTTATCTGACCTAAGGGAATCTCTAATACTTTTCTCATAAACCAAAACCTTCACTTTGATCATTTAAATAAATAAATAAAAGAAAAATCATATTTTCTAAGTAAAAATAATTATTTAAATTTAAATCTAAAAACCACATTTTTTTCCTCTCATGCTTTAATTACCCTATGGGTAGTGTACTCTAAAAATATTTCAAGTCACTTGAATTGTTCTTAATGATTTATGAAGTGAAGAGCCCCATGGGTAAAGTGGTCATTTTAGACTTTTGAGCCTTAATAAAAAATTTAGGAATAAACAAAGGGAAAATTAACAATTTTGATCATAATGAATATGTTTAGATAATTGAAACATAATGGGTAAAAGATAGAAAACAACTTTCCACCTTTTCCATGATAAAAATAAAATTATAAATTTTCTATATTATCAGACTTATAAGTTGATCAAAATCAAATGATTCTCAAGTGATGGGCTTAAGTTAGGGAGAGGATGCTCCACTTATGATTAAGTCAACAATAAATAAATGATGTGACTTCTTTCAAACAGAAGTCATATCACCTAAATTAAAATTCTAACATTTTGCCAAATCTTTCTTCCATTAGATTCATTAAGGGTCTTGGTAGTGATCTAGGCTCGATTTTAAAACTTGTTTTGATGGGATTTAGTAAATAATGTTGTTGATGATTAATTCCAGCAAGCCTAGCTTTAGTGATGGGTACAAGGGACCTTAATGAATCAAACTTACCTTAAGGGTATCCTTCCACAAAAATTTTAAGTAAGATATCAATTGATTAATTGAGTACCCTGCCCTTGGAATGATTAAAATGAAAAATTTCACCGAGTAATAAGGTAATTTTTATTTATCCCAGGATGATTAATGGAACAATATTTTAACTTCAGCATGACTCAGATATTTTAAAAGATCTTCAAACCTGTCTAGGATCATCCCCTTTATACTTTGAAATCTCTTGAATATTTTGAAGGAAAAATTGAACGTGTTATATATTTTTCTAGAATCATCCATTAAGATCTTTTGGGATTCAATAAGTCATAACTTAGGGTTTGAGGGTTTGTTAGTTACACGTTAGTTACACCTTGGACCATACTTGGTTTACCATTTCTGTAATATTATAACTTCCAGGTTGAGTACTTTCCTTTACTTGCAAACTGAAAAAATTAAACAAAAATTAATCAAAATTTTCAAAAACTAAAATAAATTGTTTCAAAGGTAACTATAAATCCTTTGAAATTCCACTAAATTTAAAACATCCTTTTAAATTTATGGGAGACCCTCAGAGGAGGTACCCAGAGTTGCTAACGAGATCTCCCTAGTTTAAATGAGTTTCACAACTTGTTTAAGCTATATAAGTTTAAAAGAAAATAGTGATACAGGAACGAGGGAACCGTGGGATCCTAACCATTGTCGCTCTAATCAACTTTAAAGCCCACATAACATTTAAATAACCATCACATTAGGAAACATCTGATTTGACATTAGAACTTAACACATTAAATAACTTGATCTCTGAACTTGACACTTCTCTAAATCTCCACAATTTGACACTTCTAAAACTTAAACTCGCCACGATGAGGACCTTGGAGCTAGAATTGTGGGCAGCACGACCATCTTCAACAAAAAAAATTATCTACACCAGCTAAACCATTCTATAGAATTAAAGAATAAGCCATAATATTTTGAGGTTGTCCTATCTAGTGTGACATGAATCATCAACTTATCTTTAAGTCTTTATATAGCCATGCTATAAAATTTAAGACCTAACCTGTTTTAGGATTCCGAGGTGGTCGTTCATCATGACCTAAATCCTAACATCTTCCAGGCTATTTGTGTAAACGTTATACACGGATGTAAGCCTTAATTAATAAAATTGGTAGGATGAAACATTTAAATAATCTCTCTCCAAAATTGAAACCAAACCATTGGGTAGACTAGAAAGTCACTGAGGTTCTCCTTAGGATCTGTGACATCCCCTAGTTCTTCATATTCATTCTACTTTTGGATTCCAAAAATAAAAATCTTCCAAATTTTAGCCATTCCCATTTCACATTTCTTTGTTTGATCTCGTTGAAATAGTCTTATCCTGTGAACTTCTTGAAGATAATATCGCTTGATTCTTATCGAGAGTTTTCTTAGGTGACTTCTCTTATCTAAGATGTAACTAACTATATGAGCTTGCCCTTATAGGAAGCTTTTCCGAACCTTGCTTAATATAAACCATATTTAATTTTTCATATTAAATAAGGGAACTTATCAGCTTATAATAAAATGGTTTCACAGACCAAACGAATATCATACATTTTTTAGTTTATTTGATTGAGCCTTACCTTCAAGAAATGTGTCTATCTTTTGAGATGGATACAAAGCTTAAGGTGTGACGCACTTTAATTTAAGATATGGGATCAGTTTGATTTCATATTTTTCTAAAATTATATATATATATATGTCAACATAATTCCATATATATATATTTGGAAAAGAGCTATCTATGGCTCCTTACATGTTAAACATACAATTGAGTTACAAAACAGAAAGGGTAGATCACACAACCTACACCCAGATCTCTTACCCCATATAGTTCTTATAACCATGCTCACAAAATGTAAGATAGATATCTAAGTAAAACATTGTATGTACCCTCCAGAAAAAAAATTAATCTCTACAGTGAAGATAAGGAATGGATAAGGTGTCCCCATGTAGTAAGAGTGCTAACTGATTAGGAGGTATAGTCCCTACAACAATCTCTTCAATTTCCTTCCCCCTGACTACCAAACTGTGTGCTGGAGTGTTTCCTTCTCTATGAATGTGTTGGAAATGCACATCAACCTTAATCAACAAGCTTTTAATATTATTGTGCCACCAAACAAGGTTCCATGGAGCAGCTTCAACATTTTTTAGAATTCGGATGAAGCTACTGGAATCAGATTCTATCACCAATTTATAGATGTTACATTGCTTGGAAAGGTAGATAGCCCAGAAGATGGTTATCATTTCAGTTTCAAGTGCATCATTAGCCCAAGCAGGAGATGAATAGTAAAAAATGCACTTTCCTTGATAGTTCCTAATAACTCCTCCCACACCAGCAGCCTCCTTAGAGAAACTTCCATCAGTATTAGCCTTCAGCCATCCCTTAAGTGGGGGGGTCCAAAGGACCAAAGTAGGATTGCTTATCTTCATATCAATACCACTTGGCATCCAAATCTGAAAATTATTGGGAAACTTCTGATGCAATATAATCTTGTGAGGATAGAAAGTACAATTTAAAACCAGTGCCTTATCCAAACATTTCATATTTTCATACTTAACATGATTTCTGCACATCTAAATGAACCAAGCAACAACACAAGGAATGATTATCATTTTAACTTCTAGCCACTCCTTCCAGCATTTCAAAAAGCTCTGCCAACTTACTTTAAGAGTATCAATGCTGAGCTGATTGAACAGACCAGACCAAACCCTTTGGGAGAAACTACAGGAGAGTATAAATGTTCCAGACTTTCTTCATCCTTACTACACAGCCAGCAGCAAGAGGGGCCCCTAAGCCCTTTCAATTTCAAAATATCATCACAAGGTAGGAAGGATTTCCATAGCGTCCAACAAGAAAAGGACATTGAAGGTGTCAACCACTTCCCCCAAATAAATTTCCCCCACATAACATGTTGCCAATGATACAATTGCTGGAAAATGTAAGCTGAAAGTTTTTGTGAGGGAGCCTGTTTAGTGACGATTCTATCTTTTTCTCCAGGATTGATTTTAGTTTTCTTCACCCAATACATTTGCTCTTCAGTTAAGATGGTTTCCAGCAAATTGCAATTCCGTTGATTTTCAGTCCAGAATTCCTTCACTTTAGTTCCAAAGTTTGGATTGGAGGTGTCAATTCTTTCCCCATTCCAAATCCATTTATCTAGCCAGAAATTAATTTGTCCTTCTCCAAGTTCCCAAACAAACAGATCCTCAGCTTGATGCCTCACCTCCAAAAGTTTAGTCCACAGCCTGGAATCCCCAACTTTCTTCTCAGCCAAGTTAGGCTGTACAGTCCTGCAGTATTTCCCCTTCATAAACAAAGCCCAAAGAATATCTTGGGCTCTAAAATTTATCCAGAGTTTACAAAGATTAATGACACTGAGATGCTGAAAATCCTTAAAACCTAAGCCACCTGCATGTAGAGGCTTACACAATTTATGCCAAGCTAACCAATGAAACTGTTTCTTCTGTCCAACCCAAAGAAATTTATTAAACATTCTGCCTAGCCTTATTTGAGTCCCGTTCTTTATAGTGAACATATAAAGAGCACAGGAAGGGATATATGTTAAGATGCTTTTGAGAAGAGTGATCCTACCACCATTTGATAGGAAGTAATTTGTCCAACATTGAAGCTGTTTTTGAATTTGATCAATAGCCCCATTAAATTGAGTTTGTTTAGTTCTCCCTTTTATTACTTGAAAAACAAGATAATTGATAGGTAAATAAGCCAAGCTAAATCCAGTGTGTTGTGCAATCGATTGCTTAATCTGTGGAAGAGTAAGAGAGCTAGCAAAAATTTGACATTTCTGTTTGTTAAGATACATACCAGATGATCTTTGGAAGTGTTTAAGTACTTGATTGGGAGACTTCACTACATTCTTGGTAGCCTTAGAGAAAATGATTATATCATTTGCATAGGATAGATGACTCACACTAATATTGGATTAGGATCTGTGCTGATAGTATAAATGTGGGGAAGATAGAAACTTTTGATTAAGAAGCCTAAAAATATAATTCATTGTTTCCGTTCATTTTTCTCTTTTTTATTTTAAAAAGGGAGTCGCCAGCTTGTCGATCGTCGTATACTTCCCCCGTTCGAATAAATCTCCCTCCCGAACCATATAAATGATTTGAAGAGGAGAGGAACCGAATAAGAAGGGACATACGACAAAGTGACAAACAAGAGAAAAAGTAAAACGTGGAGAGTCTACGTGCGATAAACCTCACAAGGATAGGTTAAGAATGTTTGCCCAAACAAGATCGGGCGGAGGCACCTTAAACCAATATCCGCGAAAGAAGTATCTACATAGACTACCCATAACCAGAGAGTCAGGTGTATGCACCTGTTCTGGGGTCAAGAGCACTCCCAGAGGAACGTGTTCCTACTGGTTAATTACATCTTGGGGGATACCCAAGAATACTCTCGATAAAAGGAGTTTCGCTTCATATTATCATAGACCTGGGGTATAGGCAATCAAAAGGAAGGTTATTCCGTGAGGGAACAGTCCTAATACTTCAAAGCTCACACTAAGCAATCGGGTAGAGAGTGAGTCTCTCACATCCCAAATGGGTAGTGGCTAATCAGCATATGGGGCCCACGAAATAA